CTCAGTTCCATCAACTAACTGTTAAATATCTGTATTCTATGGGACTAAATTAGACTTGCTATGTTAGTTTATAACTTCTTTATATTTTTCCACTGTACCTCTGTACCTGGGTAGCTGTTGTTCTTTTGTCCATCTTTCTCTCTTTTCCTTATAGGAACCTCTTTCACTGGGGGTGCTTTCGTCCAACTATATCTTTTTTTAGGCACCTCTTTCTCTTGTGGTGTTTTCGTCTAACTCTCTCTCTCTCTTAATGACTTCATGACTTCATTACCAAGTGCTTTTTTTTTATTTATAGTTCCGGATTTTGTTTTCAGTTCTAAGAAGTTTTAAGTTTTATAGTGAGACTCCCTTTACTTAAACTTTAAAACCTTGAGTATTTTACCTCTTTCTCGGTTTCTTGAGAATTATAAGTATTGTTGTTGTTATTGTCGCGRCAGAATTCTGCCAAATAAAAAGTCCGATTCCGTTCCGGCAATGTAAAACCGACTGTCGTGGGAACAAGTGTTGTCGATTCTAATGCCTAATATACAAATAGGTACACGTACTACTTTTAGCACTCAAGATCTGGAATGATCTAATCGAGAACTCCAATAATAAAAGAGAACTCGCGTTCAAGGCAATCCTGAGTGTGAACAGAACAGTTCCGGGTTGAAAKCCGTTAAGAGGAATTCTCAATATAAGTTATATTACAACAACTAAAACTATATATTTTCAAAGGATCTAACGGGTTTCTATTAAAAAAAARTAATCAAAATTATGTTGAGCGATAAAAACTCTACTGCTTGGGTCATTGGTAATGATAAAAATAAATCAGAAATGTTGCTAAATGAGACTTACCAGATCTGTTGTTGGATTAAGGGTTGAGGATCCTCGACGAGCCTTAGAAATATTTTTTTATCTAGATGGCCCAGAACAAGTTGGTGGACATCGCAGAGATCTGAGAAGAAAAATAAGAACGTAGTTATATCTTATTTCAGCTGGATTTTGATCTGCCTAGAAAATACTTGTAATGGCAAAATGGTGTAAGAATTAGGCTCTAGATTATAATAACATCTATAAAGAACTAATTAAAAAAAGATCTAATGGAACCATTTTCCATATAATTAAAAATACTATCACTAATGGACTTTTCCTGGACCTCTTTTTACGTCTAAAAACCAACGTAACCCTCAGAGAATCATTCTAGACACGCCTATGTTGGCACATACCATATTTAAAGTAATAAAGTTATCACTTGTATTATTAATATTGTTGTTTTTGTTTCACATTAGCAAAATTGAGCACAAAGTGTCTGCCTGACACTGAGGCAAGTCCACACAGCCGGCCGCCGAGACGTAGACGAACAGCGAACCAAACAGCTGAGCACGTTGTCGCACTTGTGGCTGTGGCTATTAGGCTGCTAGCAACAACAAAACCAACAACAACAACCGATTCATGTGGACTGTTGCTATGCGATTCTATTGCGATTGCACGCATTTGGTAGTTGCCATATTCTGCGAG